TATATATATATATATTAAAATTTATATGTTGCGTATTCAAATAAATAACAATTGAGTGGTATAAATGTAAATCTTTGTTTTGTCAAAGTTGGACGGTGACCTTTTGAAATATAAATAAATAAAAAAATAAATAAAGCTCTGTCTTCCGTCAGGCATTAACTGGAACGATCTATATTATATTATTAATTAATTTCGTTCTAACCCCTCTACACTTTTTCATTTATAAATTTATCAATATGATTCATTCTTCACCAAGCATTTTAGGAGCTTGACCTATGTCTATCTTCTCGATCGGTAACCTAGGGTTTTCATCTTCCACGGCTGCAGCCGTCAAGAACCGGAAGTCTTGGAAACCCTAGATAGCCCTTTTCTCTAACCGATGATTCTTAGTAACGCAGGGCCTTTATAACTCCTCATCGCAGAATCTTTGTGAACGCACAGATCTATGAGGAAGACTGAAAGTCTCTCCCATTCTTCGCAAAAAACACAAACCTTGTCTCTGTGACAAAACCTTTTGAGGAAGAAATCTGATCAGATTTCCCTCCCTGTGGATCCACAAGCGTGTTTCATTTTTATTTTGGTTTTTATACCTGAAATAATATTTTCACTGTCTTCTTAGACTGAATCGGGACCCTAATGGTTTACATGGAACAAACAAGCCCAGATCTGTTGAACCCAGTTTAGGGCTTTTGGTTTTGATCCTCAAAGGAAGAAAAAATATTCCGGATCAAGCGTAAAAATGTTCAGATCTGTTTTGTATCATGGGAACTCACTTATCGGAGAAGTAGAAATCCAGCCAAAGAACTCGAACCTTGGAACATGGACGAGGGAGATCCGAATCTCCCACTTCTCCCCACCCAGCGATCGCTGCCCGCCGCTAGCAGTTCTGCAGACTATTGCCACGTCTGGCGTCTGCTTCAGGATGGAGTCAAAGCGATCCGCGGAAGAGTCGCTGCTTTTTTCTGTATATTCTGCATGTCTCAGAGAGAACAAGGTATTTTTTTTAATTAAGAAAGGAAGTGACAATGAACTAAGTGAAATCAAAGGAGCTGTAAACAGTATCAATTAATCCGTAAAATTTATTACTAAATCAGTAGATGGAACACCAAACATCGAACAGTGAAGTAAGATCCGCGCTTTTTCTCCGAAGGAATATGCCCTTCTAAATTCCTATGAGTAAATTTATAGGTAAATTTGATAAGGAAAAAAATAAATAAATAAAAAGTAAACTTATAAATGAATAGCTGAACTGGCCATGCTTAATTTCATATTCAGCATCTACCAGGAGTTATCATGAATTACAGCTTCATGACCGTTTCAATTTGAACATATCAGCATCCTTATATGCAAATTCTGACCAATAATTTCTACATATGGCTTGTAACTACTTATGGTTATTTGACAAGGCGAAATTCAGTATTTTGATGTAAATTTGCCAAATAATTTATAATTCTATTAATTGTCTATTTACGCCAAGGATAAATTTGTCCCATGATGTATGTGCTATTTATGTTATTAACAGAGTAATAAGCAGTCTTGTCTTAATAATTATTTACGCAAGATTAATTTGCATCATACAGTCCACCATTCAACAATTTTAATATCTGTGAAAGTTACAGGATGCATGAAATTTGTAATTTTTATTACATTTTACTATCTAGGTAATGTTGCCTTGGACCTGTTCGTGTTAGACTCATGATCAGTGATTATGAATTTGAAACTGTTATATAATTGTTCGATTTCCTCTCAAGTATTTAACTTTCTGTAGAGAATTAACAACTTCTTCACAAATAATGCAGAGTTTTGACTTCTCCATATCAGAATTAACTTAAACCTGTTTAGAAAAGCTCTAAGAAAAGGTGAAAGGGTGGAGCTTAATGTGTTGTAGGTTGAATTGATGATAAGCTTGCTGTTTTCCTGTCTGCTCAACAGATCCTTTGTTTTGAGGAGGAAATCATAATGAAGCACTTGTGCTCATTTATAGTTTGTGAATAAATAAAGTTTTGGCATTTCATTCCTTGTAAATTACGATTGTTTTACTTTGCATGGTTAATAATACATATTGAGGATCATACTAATCAATCTTGCATTATTTTATCATAAGATGAGAGGTTTGTAATTTTCTATTGATCAATTAGTTTTGTTTGCAAGAAAAAACCTTAGGCTAGGCACTGTAGATGTGGGGAAGATGAACAATGTGCTTTTAATATTGGCCAATGTGGCAGTGAAAGACAATTTATGATTCTCTTAAAAAAAGCAATGCGCCTGAACATTTATTGATGTATGTTTTGCTAACATCTAATTGATATTATTTTTTCCACATCATCTGTGAGAGCATTGCTTTTAAATTCTTAACACCATCTTTCTCAAAAATGGCACGGTATAGAAATACAAGTCTAACATATGAACAAGCACGAGTAGTGGTGGATCCAAGGCTTTTATCGAAAGTAATTTCTCAACGTGTTTCGGTTACAGTGATTATTGGACTTATGTCACCTAGGCTTGTCACTCATTGTCTTGTACCTATTCATTATATGAGCCGCTGATTGCTTGCTTTGACGGATTTTAGGGGATTTTTGGTTGGATGTATTTAAGATACATGCATTCTAGCATGGCAACGTAAAAAAAATATGATGCATTTTTCATTTTCAGGAGTTTTTTAGTTGGATGAAAATTAAATACAATGAAACTAAAGTATTGTTAGCTAGGATGCATTTTAAGTGCATAATAAAGCTCTCGCTCCCTCTTGTATATTTGTAGGATCGGGAATGAGGGGTGGCTCGCATAGGAGGTAGGTTTGTGGACAGGGTTTTGGGATGGCTGGACTAGGAGGCAGAGCATTGGATAAGGTTGGGAATGGGGGTGTGTGGAAACCGGGTTTTGGATGGAACTGTGCGAGAGAGCGGTTGGAATTATGAGCAAAAGGGTTGTTGGCTTTGATGGGAATGATGAAACATGGGGGCGAGGTTGAGTTGCTAATGGTGATGGTGACAGTTGTTTGCATGAGGAGGAGGGTTACCATTGAATATGGTTGGTTGTAACCTTGCATTTGGAATTTGTCCGATTTAGGAGAATTTGAAATACAAGGAAAATGTGGCCGTTGAGCTCCTCCAAAAATACTTTGCATTTGATTTACTTCATGTCAATCAAAGGAAAAGTAAACTTCAAATACATAAATACATATATACATACATGTATATATATACTTACTATTGCGTGCAACCAAACATCCCGCAGCAAATTTAATTTATGCATCAAAATTTTACTGCTTATTGTTTCCTAACTTTGATTCATGCCTTCCTTATGCCCTGACACTATTTCAGGTTTCTTGGAAGGTGTTTAAGGATCGGATTTAGTGTGAAGGCGGTTCTGGATCAGAAGGGGGAGATAATATACGAGGTAGACAGAGTTTCGAAGGGGATGGAAGAAGTTCATCGGCTTTTTGGGCTGAAAAAAAAGAGAGAGAATCACAAAACGACATTTCCAATGAGACATGATTATAGAGAGGTCCAGCGCCTGTTACTAAGCAAGATACATACACACTTACAAAAAGAAGAGAATACAATACTCCTTTGGGGGGCTGGAAATTAGAGAACAAAATCTCAAAATGCACAAACCAAAACAAAAGTTCCCGAATCATGTTTTAGGGAACATATTTATACTAAGACATAAATTAAAACCCTAATTCTAATTAAAATAAGCATATAAAGGGGCCACAAGGGCTTGTCCCGCGTGTATTGCCCGATTCCCACTTGAGTGGAAAAAATCCAGCTCCTGTGTCATGCCCCATAGCATCATGTTTAAAGAAATAAATGCCCTTTCAATCATGAATGAATCAATATGTTCATTTGTTAATGCTTTGGTGAATCTAACTCCCAATGAACCCTGTTTGTAAGACTGTACAAGTTTAATTTTATGAAAATAAACTTGGAAGGATAAAACTTGTTTTTTGGTTGCTGGTTTCTCCTGTCTATTTTTTTCAGAAGAAATACAAAAAAAATGTTTTTTTATAAAATTGACCTTCTCTAGAGGCCCCTTGATATGGTCGGACAATGAATTTTTCTTTATTATTATTTTTGTCTACACTATTCAAGTGTACCATCAATCTGTAATAGCAATGCAAGTGAAATGAGCCATTCACAAATGTTATTGAGCATCATGCTTTTTTTAGTATACTGGTACTTGCTCTTATAGGTGACTTTAATCTCTGTAGACAGCAGTTTCTTCCATAGGAGAGGAAGAACTTCATTTGGTGGCCATGCCTTCCAGACGGAATATTCCACAGCATTCATTTTTTTGGGGATTTATTGTGGCACGAGGATTGTATAATTCTTGTCTCATCATGCTGAATCTAAGATGCCTTGGAATCGTGTTTGATCTTGACGAAACACTTATAGTTGCTAATACAATGCGTTCGTTTGAGGACAGAATCGATGCCTTGCAGCGGAAGATAGGCAGTGAGGTGGATCCACAGCGTGTTAATGGCATGCTTGCTGAGATCAAGCGGTATCAGGACGACAAATCGATCTTGAAGCAGTACGTTGACAATGACCAAGTTGTAGAAAGCGGGAAGGTGTTCAAAACTCAATCTGAGGCTGTTCCACGTCTTTCTGATAGTCATCAGATGTTAACACGTCCTATTATAAGACTACATGAGAAAAACATCATACTTACTCGGGTCAATCCGGCGGTATGTTTTTTTTTTTTTTTTTTTTTTTTTGAAAATTTTACATGCCTCGCAATTCTTATGGATGTATATATCTAACACCTAAAGTTTGATATTTACATTTACAACATCTTGGTGCTTTAAACCTCTGCATAAAAAAAAAAAAGCATTTGACATTAGTAAAAGTGTTATTTTTGATGTGATGTTAAAGATTCGAGTGTGTGGATGCAAAAATAAAGTTTGGATACTAGATATGTAAATAGAGAAGTGTAATGTGGTATGTATGTGAGCACCCCTTTTTTTTTGCTGCCAAGTGCTTGTCAGGTTCTTTTATGACTTTTTATAAATTTATTTTTCATATCATATTGAGGCAAACTAGTTGCTTTGGTCAATCTTTCTGGCATTTATTGGGGTGATCTCCTGCAATTAATTTGTTAGAAACCTATGCACTTTCACCAAAGGATGCTTGTGATTGTTATGTGGACTCCACAGGCAAATGAAATTTAATAGAGTAAATTTGCTTATATACTTCTATTTATGTGACCAAAGTACTTTGAATTGATTTATATCTACGTTTCCTGTTTTGGAATTTTAAAAAGTTTGTATTACTTATTTAGGTAGACAATGAAATATTGAAGCAATGACATCATGCTTGTATATATATACATATATACCTTTCAAGACACATTATCGTGGTTATGCTTTGCCGATAGCTTTTAAAGATGTTTACTCATTTTCTAAAGGATGCAATGTGTTACTTAGATGATTGATTTATTGTTTAATGGTTAGTGAGGGATGAGTCCGTAATGCCATCTCAAGTGTATGCCACTTATTTGTCTGATGACTCACCAAAATGCCTTTTCTCATGCAATGAGTGCTTTATGCAAGAATCATTCCGACTTTTCTAATCCTTTTCTACTGGATATTCTATTTATGGCTTGCATTATATCTTTGAGGGTAAAATCTATTGATATCCTAACCCTTATTGATTCTATTTTCTTTTTTTTTTCTAAATACTTTTAATAAAAAAGCAATTATTTATATTATATCTTGTCTGTTAGTGACAACCAACTCCCATGTGTTTATATATCTAACACCTAAGGTTTAATTTTACATTTATACAACTAAATTCTTTCTATCACATTAAAAATACAACCTTTTTAACTTTTAAAAAGTGAAATACACCTTTTCATGTATAATTGAGGTGGTATATATGTAAAAATTGAAGTTTAGGCATTAAATATGTAAATACATAGAAATAGAGTCGTATGTATTTAAAGCTTCCTTTAAACTGGCATATTTTTAGGGGCAATTTCTTGCGTAGCATCTGAATTTAGAAATTTGCAAGCTAACATCGTATTATCTCCATTTGCAATATGTCACTCAAATGCCAAAGAGTATAACAAAATCCCAACTATGATTTTTTACTTACATTAAATTCTCATTGAGTTGGTTGTGCACGTGCAAATATGTGGTTAGTTGTGTAGATAGTCAAGTTTATGATGGTTTGTCTGTAACTTTCTAAGGTGGTTTGTCTGTAACTTTCTAACGTGGTTTGTCTGTAACTTTCTAAGGTGGACTTTTGCCTCTTTTTACGAGTGATGTCTGGCCTTAATCACTTTGACATTACCTTTAGCCTCAAAGTATTCTGTGTGACTTTTGATGATAAAGCTCCTTTTCTACTTCAGTTCAGATAATAAGAAAGTTAATCTTAAAGGCTTGTTTAAAGGAAGATTTATACATACTAACATCTAAACTTCAATTTTTACATTCATGCCACCTTACCTATGCATGAAAAGGCATATTTCACTTTTTGGAATTTAAACTGGTGGTATTTTTGTTGTGATATGAAACATTTGTGTGGTATAAATGCAAAAAGTAAATTTTAGATGTGTAAATACATAGGAATTGGGTGGTATGTATGTAAACGTCTTTAGTGTCCTGCAGTGATTATAATCTCCAATGTGCTTTTCAATCAATATTTTACCTCTAAACTTACCTTGCACTTTTGCTTTTCTAGATACGAGATACTAGCGTCCTTGTTCGTTTGAGACCTGCATGGGAAGACCTTCGAAGCTACTTAACTGCAAAAGGTCGAAAGAGATTTGAGGTTTATGTTTGCACAATGGCCGAACGAGATTATGCTTTAGAAATGTGGAGGCTTCTTGATCCAGAATCTAGCTTAATCAACTCGAAAGAGCTCTTAGATCGAATAGTTTGTGTCAAGTCTGGTATGTGCGTGATATTCTCTGCTGTGTTTTTTAAGCCATTCATCAACTATTTTTCATTTACATTTCATAGCCTTTTTAATTTGATTTGGTAACTATTATTTTATTTATTGGCAGGCTTGAAAAAATCTTTGTTCAGCGTATTCCAAGATGGAGTTTGTCATCCAAAAATGTCATTAGTTATTGATGATCGTTTGAAAGTCTGGGATGAGAAAGATCAATCTCGAGTTCATGTAGTCCCTCCGTTTGCTCCATATTTTGCTCCTCAAGCAGAAGTAAGTTATATCTGTACACATTTACATTGTAATGTTACATGCAAAATCAACTTTTATCTGAGATTTATATATGATTTGACGTTAGTATTTTAATTTATCCTGCCCTCTATCTATAACCATAGGCAAACAACAATATTCCGGTTCTCTGTGTTGCAAGAAATGTGGCATGCAATGTCAGAGGCAGTTTCTTCAAGTAAGAATATTCATATTCTTGTTTGATTAGAGCAGTGGTTTATCTGTGATACAACTTCCAAAACTTTGCTAAATACTATGTAATGTAAGTTTAGCCTAAAAATTTTGCATTTCTGTGTCAGAGATTTTGATGAAGTTTTACTTCCACGAATGTCCGAAGTTTCTTATGAAGATGAATTGGAGTGCCCATCTGCTCCGGATGTCGGCAATTATTTGATATCAGAGGTTCTATCTTTATAATTTCATTTTCTTTCTTTTTTAATTCTATCTAGTTAAATTTCCCCCTAAACAATTTTTGATATAGGATGATGCATCTACATTGAACGGAAATAAGAACCCACTTGGTTTTGATGGAATGGCAGATGCTGAAGTTGAGAGGAGATTGAAGGTCTTTTTCTTACATCAATAACTTTATTCTTTGGGATTTTTTGGCACATTGTTCTAAATTTTTCAGACTTATCCTCCAATGTTCCCTTGTACAGGGTGGAAGCTGCAATATTGTCCCGGCTGTTGCTCCCATTGCTAATAACTTTGATACAAGGGTTGTTGTGCCTCCCGGTCCTCCTGCCATTGCTCCTCCATCTCCTGCAGTTTCATTGGCAGCAACCCCATTGATCATGCCTATGGCCAGCAACCAGTTTCCACAAACTGTTGCATCTGGTAAGCCATTAGGGCAATCTGTTCTGTCGGAGCATTCCCTACAGGGCTCTTCGTGGGAAGAGGGTGAGGTGCCAGAATCAGATTTAGATCCAAACACGCGAAGACGGCTATTGATTTTGCAGCATGGACAAGACACACGGGATGCCCCTCCGCCACAGCATCCATCATTTCCAACTGCTCTTCAGGTTCCCGTGCCTCCGGTTCAACCTCGGGGAAATTGGTTTCCTGTGGAAGAAGGCTTGAACTCAAGGAAAATGAATATGGTGTCTAGAGATTTTTCTTCAGAACATGAAATGGGGCCTTTTGATAAGAATCGATCTCGATACCGATCATTTTATCGAACTGAAGCAAAATCCGTGCCTTCCGAGAGAGTTTTTCATGAAAGTCAAAGATTTCCTATGCAGGTACTTGCCTTGCTTATGTTTGAAAAAACTTGCTATTTTAAGGGCTTGTTTGGCATCACTTTTGTTTTTTATTTTTGCTTTCCTTTTCATGTGTGTTTTTAAAATATGTTTGGTTAGTATAATTTTTGTTGGTTATTATTTTTTGTATTTAGAAACAAATCATGTTTTTAAAAACAAATCATCTTGTTTTTAAACCACTCAAAACGTCTATAAGATGTTTTGAGTATTTTTTGAAACAACTACTAAAATTGAACATGCTTCAATTCAATTCAAATCATATTAAAAAAAAAAAAAAAAAAAAAAAAAAAAACCAAACAAGGGCCTAGTATTTGCTAGTTTCTTGCCATTTTCATTTGCTTTGAAGATTTCCTATATTGTACCATGTTAATTTCATGATTTAGGTCTCTCACGGTGAAGTTCGGCCTCAACCCAACAAAGCAGCATCGAATTTTAATTCTTTCCAAGGTATTTTATTTAAAGAAATCTCAGAGAGGATATAAGTTTTCTATTGTTTTCCTTGGGTGGGTGAAGTGTGAGTTTTCATGTTATTCTACTGAACCTTCTTTTCCTCACATGACTATTAGACTGAGGTTTTTTTTCCTAATTCTGGTTCCATAGTTCTATCATTTTAACATAGTAGGCCCTTCTAGTCTTGACAGGTGATATTTACCTACATAAAATTCTTTTGATTATATGTAATGATTTTTGGTGAGACATTTCAGCTAAACATTTACCGTCTTTCAAGGCGTTTGCCTTTAGCCATAAAAAAAAAAAAAAAAAAAAATCTAACAAGTAATTTCTAAATTATTAGATTCATATGTTGCATATATTACTTAAAATGCTAAGATATTTATGTATGGTCGGGTAAGAAGAACTAAGCAATGCCATCTTAATTGTTAGGAAGAGTTTTTATCGTGAGGATAGTGTAGCTTTCAGATAGGTGATTTATCTATAAGTAGTATCTAATTGAAGTATTGCCAAATATAAAAAACATAAGGAAAAAAAAACAGGCATGAGGTTAGCAGGAAGTTCTTAGTGGAGGTTAAATATTTTTTCTTATTAATGTTAGATGGCTTCGGCAACATGAAAACAAATGCTGATTTAAGTTTATGTCTCTGAAGGCTTAAAGTCTTAAGGGTCGTTTGGCTATAGGATGGATTTAGAGTTAGCAGGATTTAGTAAATCCGGATTTATTAAATCCACCTTCTTTTTTGATTTATTAAATTCAGAATTAACATGAATCGAAGGCAATATTCAAACCTTAAATCTGAAATTTCTTAAATCCATAGAACTCGAGTTTTTTTTATGTTTGGCTTGATTTACTAAATCCAATGGATAAATTATATTAATAGGGTGCTACCAAACACCCCCTTATGTGTAGTCATCCTTCCGAATATTTTGTTAGAGGCTTCATTTGTTCATGAGAGAGAAATGAGGAACATGAATACTAATGAAGAGAAGATAGGGAGGACATAATAAATTAGATAAGCAAATGTATTGATAGTTGCGGCTCTTAATTAATAGACTGTTAATCATTGTTTTATTTTTCTTTTGAGCTGTTATAGTTTTTATTCTCATCATTGTAAGTTAGAAACCTTTCTAAAGAATGAGAGAATGGAGCGATATCACAATCATCTTACCTTATTAATACTCAAGAACTCAAACATAAAGAAGTGACTAAACTTTTTTATGCTTAAAACACGAAGGAAACAAAAAATTATAGGGATTATCCTAAAGGGTGAACTTTTTTTAAACAAAATTTGTATTTATACACCTTAGTGCAATAAATTGTTAGGACATAAATAAAAAATTACTTCTAAAGGATATTGATTGGGTGGTCATCTCCAAGATGTGATGATCTAGTGTAAGGTAGCTTGTATCAATAATGAACTTGTTAGGTGGGGAGTCTGTAAGGGTGTCAGCATGATGTCGATCAGGGAGGTTGGTGGTACATCGACAAAGGAAGACAATTAGTCATCATCAAAGGAGGCAAGTGATACTTTAATTATGTCAACAAGGTAGGATCATTTACCAATGAAGTAGACCTTTTGGTCATTGATGAAGGTTATTGACTTGTGCTCATAGATAGGTCAATTACATTTGTGCTAGGTTTTGCTATTCCCAATGAGGATCCTTGTTCAAGCGAATTCCACTAATTCCAACATTGATCACTAAGGGATCTTAATGAGGGGAAATGATCCCCTTCGTGTTGGAGTTATTATTTCAAGATTTATTAGGGGATGATTCTCTTTGCACAATCATAGGGATAATATCAAATATAGTTTAACTGGCAGAGCTTAAACTCGAAATGGAAGATTCGGTTTTGGCATGAATGAAGTTGTAAGTAATTTGTAAAATTGATTTTATAATTGATTCGAGCCAAGCCTATTATTTTTGTAAAAATGTTAATTTCTAATCAAATTATTATCACATATGTTTTTTTTTTTTGTAAAAGTATGAATGGTAATATGTGCGCGAATACATACGTGAAGTAATGCTACAGTATCTCTCCCACAACTTAAAAAAAATCTTGAGATTTTAAACGCTAAGTTTTCATGTGTTTGATGCACTGCATAGTCACATGGAATTCTCTCTCCCTATATTGGAATCTCTCTTTTAGTGCTAACATATCAGGACAGATTTGGGCCTGTGACTGGGGAACCTATTACTTTTTTTGTAATATGTATATTATTTAAGCACTATGTTTACATTAATGCGTGTATACAAATGTATGCAACAAGCCAATTTTGAGTGGAAGCGAACAAATACAGGTGAGTTATCTTCGAGTTAAGGCAAACTGATTTTGACTACAAGTTTATTGAAGTTTTGGCACTTATTGATTGATTTCGTGTCTAATTGACTGCCTGAACTAGCAGAGAGAACTAGTCTTCAGAGAAACGAATTTCAGTAATAATATCAATTTACCTTACTAGTAGGTGACTTGTTGTTTTCTGCATCGGGGTTCTCTTTCCAGTTGGACATTATTGGGCGTGCACATTCGTGTTGTACTGAACAAACTCGGTGATATGGTTTGACTTATTAATCATATGTTATTATCCTTCAGCTGGTAAGTGCTTCTGTCGAATTCCTTTGGGTTTGTGGAGTAAATATTGGTGTTGATTACTAGTGTTCGGTTTGTATGGTTGAGGTATTTGAAGTTGTTTTTCATTCTGGATGGCCACGATGTTTTTAGTTTGAGAGGCACCGAGGAAGGTATGATCACTAGGAAGCTTTTTGAAGTAGCTTAGCATCTGTTTCCAAAATTTGCTCGGCTTCTCAAAGAATTGCTGAAAGGTCTTCGCGGTACTCCATTCTAAAGAATGATTTCCTTCAAAGAGATTGGAGACAATTTAGGTAATGCCTCAGCATTACTTGAAATGAATAAAACCAAGGTTGAGCTTGCCCATTGAGGCTAATTGGGATAATTAACAATCCAAAGTGTTAGTTTCTCTAGTGATGAGCATGATGGCCATAATTTATGACATGATCCACATATATACGAGGATTTGTAAGCCAATCATATAGCTTCTTAAACCCCATGGGAATCAGTGGTTAATTGATTATTAGTATAAGGAATTTATTGCTTTTTCTGCTCTTTTATGTTGGACTTGATTCTTTTGTAAAGTTAAGATTTCTTTGATAGATAGATCCTTTCCTTCATCTACAGTCGTATGTGTGAAGGCTTGGTTTAGTTATTTGTTATAATTTTGATTTCTTGATTGGTGAGATGCAGATTGGTATGCATTAATTTTAGTTATGTTATGTACCTTATGCACCATTAAAGGTTGGCAATATTTTTTCAGCTGGAGAGTAGGTTTGTAAGATTTCTTAATCAAGTTGAAGTGTTCTAGTTCTTGTTCTTGGTTAGTTATTGATTGTTTTGTTTTCTAGTCAATCAATGTGGAAAAGATTCCCACAAACAACATTATGCTATATGCAAACCTTTTTGTAGATTAAGAGGGATAAGCGTTATCATGATAAACTTAGTTGTAGATTACTCAAGCCCTGAAATAACATAAGTGACGATATTTTTTATGTGTACAATCTACAAAGGAACTTCGATGAACTTTCAATATTAAGAATGTGTAATTAAGTGTCTAGTGCCCTTTAAATAGTTTGAAGAATACTTAGTAAGCTACAAGCCAACTAGAGACTAATCAACTAGTCATTGCTAGGTTGTGCTATTGTCAGATGGGGGATGGGAGTAGTTGCAGACAAATTTCTTTTTTAATGCAATATTATAATAAACAAGTGGCGTGCATACAACAGTAATAATTAATTAAAATGATCACATTACTGAAAAAAGAAAATGCATAAAACATGAAGCTGAAGTATGAAACATCCAATTGTTCGGGAAAATATGTAAGGAGAATAGAGCTCAGTTTGGTTGCCTTGCTTGAAGCTTGATGAAAGCTAAATAATGGTGATATGTTTTGTTTTGATTATTTTATAATTTGATAAATAGGATTTAAGACCTTTTATCGACCACAATGACATCACTTACACTATGGAATAAGTTAAGTTGTGATCGGTTGAGTGATATTGTTCTTGATTGTTTGATTTTCTCAAAATAGATGACTTTTAAAATTGTCCCCAAAGTTGTGTCTAAAAATTTTGTAGGAAGAATATTATGCATGTCTTTAAAACTATATTATCTAATGTCGGAATTCTGAAAAAAAAATTATCCCACAATTCTTCATGCATTACACTTTGCTACATATATATTGATAGAAAACCAAATGGAAAAGTTTAGATGTGAGTATGAAAGTTCTAAAAATCAGAAAAAAAATTATGACCAAACAAAAATGAGAAACACAAGTTAGCTAATAGGTAAATGATTTTTCTTTGTAGGGTGAAGCATTACTCATGTACTTATACAGAGCTTGGAGTTCAAGCCACCATTATAATTTGGTGTATTAATATACAAATCATTCAACATCTGAAATTAAACCAATATAGATTTAGAGTTTAGCTAAATAAATATATAAGAATCCAATGGAATGTATAAAAATCTCCCTTTTTCCATTTTTAAGAAAAATGAATGAGAAAGTAGACATAAACTGACTCATAAACAAATGGGTTTTCTTTGGAGAGTGAAGCATTACTCATATACTTATACAAGAGCATGGAGTTCAAGCCACCATCATCATTTGGTATATCAATACATAGTTCATTCAAGCAACAAAAATGAGAAAGTAGATACAAACCGACTCATAAACACATGGGTTTTCTTTGGAGAGTGAAGCATTACTCATGTACTTATACAAGAACATGGAGTTCAAGCCACCATCATCATTTGGTATATCAATATATAGCTCATTCAACACCTGAAATTAAACCAATACATATTTCATCTTCAACTAAATTGTAAGAATCTATACAATTTAAGTGCTCATATGGTTTTATGAAGATATAGAAAAGTGGGGAATCACAAGCTCAGATTCCATCAAAAAGCATATCCGCCATCCAATTTTCTAACGATGACTAAAGGAAGCAACAATTAACCTTAAAAGCAAGGGCCATCCAAGCTGCTCCCACACCATTGCATGAGAAGAGTGTAAATTTTTGAATCTTTGAATCATCACAAAAAAAAAAATCAAGACGCATGTAGACAAACAAAAATGAGAAAGTAGACAAACCAATTCATAAAAAAAATGGGTTTTCTTTGGAGAGTGAAGCATTGCTCATGTACTTATACAAGAACATGGTGTTCAAGTCACCATTATCATTTGGTATATCAATATATAGTTCATTCAACACCTGAAATTAAACCAAGACAGATTTCATCTTCAACTAAATTGTAAGAATCTATACAAATTAAGGGCTCATATGGTTTTATGAAGATATCGAAAAGTGGGGAATCACAAGCTCAGATTCCCCTTTGTTCCATCAAAAATCATATCCGCCAACTAATTTTCTAACAGTGACTCAAGGAAGCAACGATTACCCTTAAAAACAAGGGCCATTGAATTCGCTCCTACACCGTCCATGCGAAGAGTGTAGATATTTGAATCATCAAAAGAAAATATCAAGACACATGTAGACTCAAAAAAAAAAAAAAAAGAATAAGAAAAGAAGAAACCAAAATACCTCTACCCAACTTCAATTGATGTGTGGGAATCGTGATTGGAGGTGGTGCGATTGTGAGGGAGCCTCACGAGGCCCTAGAGATCACCTGAACGATGATCGAGCCACCGCCAAGAGCGAGCTTCGCCCCTCCATTCCCTCTCGAATGCTCGCATGAAGCACCGAAGCAACCCTTGCCTCACCTCAAAGCCTAGAATTTTTGAAATCGAAAATGTAATTTTATAAAATCGTGGCCGGTTCAACGATAATTTGGTTTGACTCTGGTTTTGGCCGGTCTTATCCAGTCTTTCAAAAATCTAGTTAATACATGATACCGGACCGGTTGCCCAACTGATTCACTGTCCAACCGGTCGAACTGACCCGTTTGATCTGGTTTTAAAAGCATTGACTAAGTTAGAAGTCACAAAAGGAATTGGTGAAAGGGTATATTTATAGATTTGGCTTGGAGCAATTTTGAAATATTTGAAATATGTTTTATGGTTATCCGAATCAAATGGTGGTGCTCATGCACATGTGTTTGAATTATATGCTTGGAATTATGCATAATACCATTGGAGTCAAATTCATTCATGGTTTGGAAAACTAACCTATGTATTAAGGGGAGCAGATATATGGAAATGTGATCAGAATTCAGAATACGCTAAGAAGGAATTCATGTCTTTAAAGCTAATTTTTTTTTGGAGATGATTTACAAGTATTTATCATTTTGGATGTCCGAAATCTGGAGATAATATTTAGATAGCAAACTCATTTTGATGTCGCCTATAACACAATGATAAACAGTTAGGGCAAAAAATAAAAAAAATCACTGGAGTACTGTAACCTATTTTATATTTTCATATTGGATTCTATATTACACATATTTGACAAGGCTCCCAGAAAGTTTTCTATGGAGTCTCTCTATGGTCTTGAATGTTTTGTAAAGAAAGCATGATTGATCATCCGAACTGTTGATCTTAAGCTGATTCTCTACTTTTTGATTGGTAACGTATGTTTTTCAAATTTAAAAGAGTGCTTCCAAGTTGTCATTTTTAAATTATATTTTGGTTGAAAATTCTAAGTAGAAATTTTTATTTTTCTGGTATATTCATTATGAATGATGCTCAATACTGGGAATGAACCACTGAATTTAAGAGCTACATATTCCCTTTTTTCACCTTGAAGGCAACGAGTCTATGGGTCACTTGGCATCCAATTATAGTGATGCACATTTCAATTCGAATCATATTCATGAAGATACCCCTGTGGGATTTCTGAGGGAAATTTCAAGGAAGTGTGGTACCAAGGTAGAAGTTCTTCCATTATTTAAAAAGCTTTTTATATAGATATTTTCTTCTGTTGGAGTTACCTAGGTCTTTTCTGTAGATTGAATTCAGGTCAAATTTACTCGACACTACCGAACTGCAGTTTTCTGTGGAGGTAATCAAACTTTTCAACCTATGATGGTGAAAAGCCAATAATTGGCAAATACCTAAATTAGAGATTTTGGGGATTCTCATTTCCCCCATTTTTTTCTAGATTTGGTTTGTTGGGGACAAAGTTGGCGAAGGCATTGGGAGAACAAGAAAGGAAGCTCAACTTCGGGCTGCTGAGAATTCCTTACAAAATTTGGCAAGTAAGAACTTCTTTTTGGTGGATTGATATTTCTTAATGATAAAAATTAAGAAGTCTCATATCTTTTTTACTGTATTTTTTGGTATTATTTCATTTTCTGTTGTGGATTAGTTTTCCTTTTATAGTAAAATCATCATATTTATAATCTTGCAAGAGCCACATCTAAATTTGCATTTTGTTGAAATAAATGAATGCTATGGCACTCTTTGGTTTTATAGAGAAATGGGGTGATTAAGCTTTTGTTACTTCTAAACCTTTTCTTTATCATCTCTTGGCACCTGAGATTGAAATTAATGTGGGAGCACGCATTTATTTGATTTTTTTCCAATATTGTATTAGTGGGGGCTAGAATGATCTACCCATGGATGTAATGTACAATGACTCATTCTTTGAGAAATCTTCGATCTTCTTGCTAAAATCTCGGCCTTATAAATTAGCTCTATCCATTTGCTTTTTTTGTCTTTTTTTTTTTGGTTTCCTATTTGATTTGTTCATCAAACTAATATGGTTTGAAAATATTCTCATTTTTTTCACATTGAACAGTATTGAATATTGTTTCTTGATACATCAATACTTATTAGTTAAAGACTTAAATATTTAATTGTGATATTATTTTGAAGCATTGATTTTGTTTTGATTGCAGATACGTACTTATCAAATACGTTTGCTGATACCGCTCATGCTAAAGAAAGTGGTTTTTCGAGTGATTTAAACTCTTCAGGATATTCAGATCCAATAAGGAATGATTTTTTAACAGGCAGAAATACTCCAATTTCCCATCTTATGGGTCAAGAGGGATCAAAAAGAGCAGCAGCTCCTGTTGCTGCCCTCAAAGAACTTGTAAGATAATTTTTCTTCTAGTGGTTTATTTGTGGGTTATATATGTAAATGTGTGAAAATGTGCATGGTTTTTCTTAAATAATGCGTATCTTTGCATTTCAGTGTATGATAGAGGGTTATAATCTTGTTTTTCAAGCCCCTTCTTTGCCTGCTGGGTGCTCAACTAGCAAAGGGGAAGTTTATGCTCAGGTAATTTGGATTATTGCATCAATCATTTTATTTTGTGCTTGCTGTAATGCTTGATGAACTTCTCTGATTTAAAGACGATACTTGCCCGTGTAGCAGAGAAATGAAATGATTCTGATTTTTCTGAAATTTTTAATTAGAAATGACAAATATTTCATGTTGTGTTGGAGAAGAATATAAAAGCATTTTCTTTTTTCTGTTATTTTATAATGGGCAATTTCACGGTTTACACATTATGTAGGATCTGTACTTTCTAATGCACTCGTAGCGTACAATGCAAATTGTGCTATAAGCAACGAATGCATAAATATGCATGTTTTACGGAAGCAACCAATTTATTTTAAGGGATATGTGCATGTGTACCACCAAACGTTTTCTTATTTAGCATATTTACTACGTTTAAAGGATATGTATGTGTTTACCTCTTGAATTTCCTAATTTTAAAGGAGTTTTGTTTGCCACTTACAATGGGAATTGAAAATATTATAATTGTATTCAAGTTAAAAGATTTTAACACTAATAAAAGTTTGCAACAAGAAAAATAAGCCCATAAAAATGAATGTAATTTCATTTTTGCATAAAAAGAAATCTGATTTATTAGATCCAATAAAAATTAATTACACTTTCATCCAATGATGAAAATAAAGTGAAGAAGAAAAAGGAGAGAAAAGGGAAAGTAGACGGGAAAGAATTAACTATAAGTCAAGTTTCATGCTTACACGAAATTAATTAGGATAAAAATCTTTAAAAAGGAATGATTTATACATCCAAATGCATTTTAATATTAATAATATAATTCCTCTTTTACTTGCCTCAAAAGTTCTATTTGTGAAACTAGAGTAACTCCAAGGCAAAAACACATTGACCAAGAACAACACACTAGAGGGTTTTGAAAGTGCAAGTGTTTAGAGTGTAAATTGTTGTCTTCTAATATTGTTACTATTTCTCGACCCCAGCCATTTATATAATATATTTTATTATTACTTATTTTTAAATTAAAAAAAATATGTATTTTTATAGTATTAATAAAATACATGCATTAAAAAAATATTATTGTTCATATTTTAAAGTGAAAACAAATTTTATTCATGAGAAATTGAGATTTCAAGCACAATACTCGTGCACACGGCTATGTGTCTAATACTGGAGTTTAACTAAACAATAATGAGAAAATAATATTATTGTTGAATTCAAACAGGAAATTATAATCAAATAAATAGAACTATGAAATTGCAACGAAAACGATAACAAAATAGTAGGATAGATCTAAGGTGGTGGTTGTGGCTGTTAGTGACTTGGAATGATGGCGATAAAATAGGAAATTGGAGTAGGTGCTTGGTACACAAGGGAAATAACAGTTACTTGTTGTCCTAGGCAACAAGGAGGGAGGTGGGCTGAACGATGGGGAAAACAACAGGTACTTGCTGTCCAGGTGACAACAAGTAGGGAAATGGGCTGGAATCCTAGGAAAACATCGGGCGGTGTTGTTTTGGGTAGGAATAACAAGGAAGGGGTAAGGGAAGGCGACTGGTGGTGGCTGGAACTGCAGAAAACTGTAGGGGATTAGCTGTTCTGGGTGGCTGCAGCAAGGGAGGACGACAGGGAGCAATGTGGGAAGGATAGGGAAGGGTAGGGGAAAGATAATCACCACCTCGAGAGCGATATACAACTAGGGCACCACATTGTCCATTTGATATATCCCTAAAAGGGAAAATAGAGACGCCGACAGTTGTACTGAACAAACACACTACAAACAACATATATAGACCTAGGGTAACTAGGAGTGTACCCACCCTATTGATCATAACTCCCATTGGTCCAAGAGGACCGGTTGGCCCTCATTATGTCTGGACCAAATCGGTCTAGAGCACTACGAGGGATCCCGCGCCCAACAAACTTTTGCGAGTCTCCTGTAGTTTGGGGAGTTTAGACCTCATTCGTCGAAGCTTCTGTTTATTGATAGTATGGATTCAGGTTGACCACATTTAAAGTGACAGAAATATTGTAATCTCTCAGTAAGTCAATTCTATAGGCATTGTCATTCAAGCTTCTTGAAGATTCTGAATGGTTCATCTGCTTTGGGTTTGAGCTTTCCAAAAGATCCCGCTACAAAATATATGCTCATATCTATTTAAGACAACTCTAAATCATGTACATCATTTTAAAGCATGTCCTGATAGGATAAGTAGTCATGTCATTTTGACACAACCAAAGCTGAAATTACACACAGATGAGTTTTCTTGTAAAGGGTATGTTTGGCAGCTGTAGTTGTTTGAAGAAACAACCGTAAACAACTATTCAAAAAGTTAATGTGATTATTATAAATTTATTTTAGTTTCAAAAAGTTAAATCAGCTTTATGGTAGTCACCACATTTTAACAAGTCAAGTTAAAAAACACTTTCTACCACAAAAACTTCTGGAAAACAGTTCTCAAATGTAACTGTGGTGACGGTCAAAAAAGTAAAGTAGGCAAAAAAATGTCTTAAATGGACCTTAAGTCTCAAGCCATTAAATCGTACTGGGCTGAGTGTATATGATAAACAATTTTGTCAAGAGGAATCAACTTTGAAATGAAATCTAGGGCAGACTGGGCAAATCTCAATGACAACCTTTGGGGAGGCGTCTTTTTCTTTTATTGAAAGATTTGGATTTCATCGTCGAATGTTCTTTTATACAAAACACTTAAGGAGGATTTGAAAGCTACAATTCACCATACTCTTATGGCCATCAGATTGTGGAGGTGTTGTTGAACTGATCTGAATTTTAATACCCATATTACTCTATTTAGCCTTTTAGAAGTAGAACAAACCTTCTCATCTATGGCATATTGAATTTCTCTCACCAGTGGCAACTCAGGAGGACTTCTAAAATTCTAAAATTCTCTTATATGGAGTTAACGATGTATTTGATGTTAGTTGCTTGAACTTATGACTCTTAGACAACCAATTTCATTCATGCTAATGTTCCTCTTATTGTCTGCAAAAAGGCAGTTCGTGATAATCCACAAACTTTGTATGAATACTCATTATCTGTGCCACTGTCTCATTTTTTAATTGCTCTATGTTCGGTGAAAGAAATTGCTCTCCTATTTTGGCAATCAGTCTTCACGCGGCCAAAATCGTGATAGTTAAAACATTTACTGGTGGGAATGAATTTTGGAGTAGTGGTGGTTTCCACTTTTTCTCCACTATGTACGGGTTCCTCCTTTGGTTGAGTTGGCTTTAGATGTTCCTCTGATTGTACTCTTATTGCTTGAACTGGGGTTTAACTCGGCTTGTAAGATGTGTCGGTCATTCAATAATGTTGCAATAATTGGTGAAGTCTAAAGAACATATTTTGTTTATAATGTATGGGTATGTGCTTGCGCTACATCTCCTTTTTCTGCTTGGGTCAGGTAGTGATTTTTCTTTTTCCGTTATGCTAGCGTAAGTGTTTAAACTTTTCCCACCACATCAATGCTTTCTTCTTTACTTGATGGCAACTAGGTTTATCATTATGTTCGGTGGAATATTCTTGTATTCAAAGAATCGTTCCACTGCCTGAGGCCACTCTATGAATTCTTCAGGATCCTTGTGACTTTCAAAATCCAATAAATCCACCTTTACTTTTAGATCCCGACTTCTCCTCAGATATTCTATATTAAATCTTTGAGGTGGTGGTTTTTCATCCTTTCAATTTGACGAATCACCGTTGTGGTTATGAGTGACCCTTTCAGATTATCTCCTTTTGAGGCGAAAAACCTTTGTTGCAGTTGGAGGGTTTTCCGTTGCATACCCTCCATAGAAGGCCCTTGGACATTTATTTTCTCTCAATCAGGTTTTCAACAATTGCCGCCTCGGTGCCATAGCTAGTCTTTAGGTTTTGGAGGTGAAATAGGTGTGCTGGGTTGATTTAGGGAGGGGAAAGAAAATTTTTCGGTGGTTGATTTGGAAAATCAGCAAGGGAGGGGTGATTTTGATAATCCTAGGATAAAAATAGGGTTAGACTAGTTCTAATACCAAAAGATATCGGAGTTTAACCAAACAACAATGGGAAAATAATATTATGATGAATTTAAATAAGAAATAACAACCAAATAAATGAAAATATGAAATTGCAACAAGAACGACACTCAACAAACTGCTAAGCTGAACCTAAGATGGTGTTGGTGGCTGTTAGGGGCTTGGAAGGGGGGCACCAATGTAGGGAAGTGGAGCAGGTGGGGGTGCAGTAGGGAAATGACGGTTTTTTGTCCTGGGCTACGACGACTAGACTGGTGGATTGGACAACGGGAAGACGAGTACTTCTTGTTTGGGGCAACAACAAGGAAGTGGGTTGGACTTTGAGGAAAATAGTGACAACAATAGGGGGAAGGGAAGGTGGCTGGTTGTGGCCAAAATTACAAAAACAACAGAGAGGTTGCAACAAGGGAGGGCAACAAGGAGCGATGTGGGAAGGATGGGGAAGGGTTGGGGATAGATAATCATCACCTCGAGAGTGAGATATAACCGGAGCACCACTGTGATCCTTAAATACAACCTTAGAAAGGAAAACAGAGGCTTTCGGCTTTCCTGGTGAAACACAAGACAAATACTGACCTAAAACACTACAAAAGCAATACATAGATTTAGGGTAACTAGGAATGGTCCCACCCGTATTGGTCAGCTGTATTGGTCGGCACTCTCATGGAGCCAAGAATACCGGCTAGCCCTCATTATGTCTAGACCGAATTGGTCCAGAGCGCTAGGCGTGATCCCGGGCTCAGTTGTTGTCCAAGTTAGTGTCACTCAAAACTTGAGATCATCCAAGTTGAAGCTTTAGCATCCTAGCTACAACAAATTACAAGTTAACATAATTCATAAATTTTTTTAAGTTTGATTAATTTTTTATATTAATATACATTAGTAGTTTATATTAATTTTTTATTAGTATTGTACTGATAAAAATATATTATTAATGCACATTTATCTTACTTGTTAAATTTAAAATTTGTTGATCTATTTTACAACCAATTACACACACATACACACAAAGAAAAGGCTCCGCAAAGTGCATCTTGCTTGTTTGAAAAGTCTTTCTGGGGGCGTTTTTTATACTTGGTGGTGAAGATGGTAACGTAAATATTATTCATTGGGCTGGTGAGAAGTCTTATAATTTGAAAACCACAGTTAAAATTCGAAATGATTATGCAGTATTTTGTGTTTCAATTATAGATTATAGTATCGCGTGGCCTTCCACATTTGTTTCTTGTGTAATATCTTGTTCCCATTTGAGGTAGTTCTAAAGTGGATGGATGTGACTTTTTTATAGGTATGAATTTATTCATGGAATACGTTATTTGTGGATTGAAAATGAATTTTTGTTAAGCCTTTACTCCCTTTTTGGGAAAACATAAAGTGATAAAGCGCCAGTGATTTAAGGTGGTAATTTTTGAAGTAGTTTATCTCATATTGTTCACTAATGCATTATTTTATGTAATTTTTTGTTGCAACTGTAAATGTTACTTGACCATGAGTTAATTATGTACAATTTTTTTAGTGGAAATGTGGAATTGGATTAGGTTTTCTTCTTAAGCAAAGTAAATTTTCTACCAATCATTTGCAGTAAAAAGCCTCATGCATGCATCATATAGCTCGAGTTTTTGCCAAGTGTTAGTTGAAAGTTAGACTGAAAGAGAGTATGGAAGAGAGTATGACCAAAATAGTTCTTCAACTATTATTGAGGGGCAATTTTAGTCCCACTATGTAAAATGCTTTGATTTAGTCTCCAGTCTTTTAAACAAGGACTAATGTTTTCTAAACTGACAAAAATTGAAATTAATGGTCTTAAAAACCAAAGATTTTAGGAAAATATATTTTTTTTCTAGAACCTTTTGGCAAATTTAATTTTCATGCTTATCTTATTTTCTCCTTTAGAACAACCAAATTTGAATACAGCAAGAGTGGATTGAGATTGTGCAGGTTGTGTTGCGAGTTGATTTTTTTTAATAAATTTGGAAGATTTCAATCAACTATTGCTGTGTGTGAAGTTTGTTGCTGTTTATGAGAAAATAAAACAAGTAAGAAGTTAGATTTATTGAAAGCTCAAGAATTTTTTTTTTCCTAAATGCTATCAATCTTAACACCATTAATTTTAATTTTCACTAGTTTTGACGGTATGGTTATTTTTGGCTCTTTTTTTTATAAAAGCTGGGGACTAAGTCAGGACTTCTACATAGTCTGGGACTATAATTGTTGCTCACAAATTGTCGGAGCATAATTTTGGTCTTTTTCTCTTGTATGAAATTACTCGTTTGAATTAACCTAGTAAGTATCTACTGACTTCTGTTGCTGCTGTTGTTCCTTTATTATTGAAATTTTTGTTTCTTCTGATAGCCAACATGTGTCGCTTTTAGGTACAAGTTTTTACGCTTGAAATTCCTTCACGGTTTCCCATTTTTTGTTTTTTTTGTTTTTTGATTTTTTGCACTATATATAAGGGTTTGGCTTGTACAAAACGCAATGAATTTACTACCCAATGAAGTTACTGTTGAATCTTCTGGGGTTAATCCTTAATTAAAGTGAGGGGCTTGTATATTTGCGTGAGAGACCATCTTCTTATGATAGCGTGAGACTTGATTTTTTATACTTTTGACGACTTCTTTCTTCTTTTTTTCTCTAATTTTATCTGTTGGATTGATAAAGTAATTGTTTTTACTGTAATACAAGCTACTCTTCAACGAGTGGATTGATTTTAACTTTCTTTCTTTTTTTTCTTGTTTGTATTTCTTATTTCTCTTGTACTGTCATGAGATTTTAATTTAAATTTATTTATTTTGGTTCGTTTGATTTTATTGAATGTAATGAATAGTTGTAGTCAGTATTTTTTTCTAGAACCATCATTTTTAACAAGGTATTCAAGTATTGATTTGGTGGCAATCTGTCTTTTATTTATTTCATCTTGATATGAATCCTGTATGCAGGTTGAAATCGCAGGCCAGGTCTTAGGTAAAGGATTTGGAGTAACATGGGAGGATGCCAAGATTCAGGTCTCCTGCAAACCTTTTACCTTGGAAGATTTACATACATATCACTAAATTCCTATATATTTTCATATTTAACACCAACGCTTCAATTTTTACAAAGATACCACCTTATGTACCTTATGTATGTATGAAAAGGTATATTTCACTTTTTTAAAAGTTTAATGATGGTATTTTTTATGTGATATAAAAGATTTGGGCGGTATATGTATGAAAATTAAAGCTTAGGTGTTTGATATTTAAAAAAGAGAATTGGGTGGTATGTTTGTAAATGCCTCCTTTTTTTAACTTAAAATACTTTACTTTTTAGTTTGACATAGGAAACCTATTGTAACATAGTTTCTAGCTTTTGATATGATGGCAAATGAATTCATGTCCTACAAAACTGCTTTTTAACTTAAAATACTTTAATTTTTAGTTTAACATAGGAAACCTCTTTTAACATAGTTTCTAGTTTTTTATATGATGGCAAATGAATTCACGTCCTACAAAACTGCTTTTCCTAACTCTATGAATTTCCTGAGTGCGTCACATTTTAGGTTTCTCCTCTCATTATTTAGCTTCGATGATGTTAAATCCTGCAATTTTTACTTTAATGTTTGTAAATGTGTAGCTTGTGTGTGATATGTGCATTTTTAAGTTGCCACTTTTGGAAGATGAATGGTTTACAATTTAATGAATCATGGAAGTTGATAATCAAACGTTGAAAATTGTTTTTTTCAGGCTGCGGAAGAAGCTCTTGAATCTTTGAAATCCAAACCTGCACAAGTTCCTCTAATGGGTTCAGGTTCTTCAAGGTTGGCATTTCTATTTTTTAATTATTTTATCCACGGCACCTAAAAAGGAATGTACCTCGGTAATGATTTCTCCAGGTGTTTCTGGATTAGTTTTTTCTTCTTTATTAGAATGGTAGAGGTAGACCTAAAAAAGGACATGTTGTATTAAAATGATCTTAATCTATTAGAATTATATGAAAATATGACTCAATAAGACAATGGTGAAAAATGATTTATGGAGTTGACTTAATGGGATAAAGGCTTTGTTGTGTTTATTGTAGTTGTTATATTTATTTTATTAACCTTGGTGATTCCAAAATAGAGGGCAAAATATGGATGATTGTGTTGGGATCAAATATACCCTTAGGACATCGATTGGTTCACAATCAAAATCTCTCCGCGAAAATAAGAACATTGATTCGAGAAATTCAGAATAAAAAAATAAACAGAAGCACAACAAAGTAATATAAGAAAAGCACATCGGGATTTACGTGAAACCCAAGAACGAAAAAAAACCACGAAGCCACAATACTAAAAAATTTCACTATGAATGGTAGAAACGTACAAAGATACACAAAATTTTTCTCTTTAAAATAACTGGAATTTACATAACTTCGTTTCAAACATTCCTCTCAATCTCTCAATCTCATAAGATAGAGCCTTCACATCAAAATTGTCTTTGGGATTTGACGGTACTACCAAATGACAAAAAACATTGCACAACAAGTGCGTCTACAGGCTGAAAGAGGAGTTAGATGGTAGCAAGTGCTACAAGATGAGACTTGTTGTGAAGGGTTTCCAACAGAGGGAAGGAGAGAGTTATACAAAGATTTTCTCTCCAGTGGTGAAGATGACGACTGTGAGGATTGTGTTGAGTCTGGTAGCAAAAGTTCTACATCTGGAGCAGATGATTGTAAAAACAACTTTCTTAAATGGATATCTGGAGGAGCTATACATGGTGCAACCACAGGGTTACAAGGTTCCAGGCAAAGAAGGTTTGGTTTGCAGATGGAAGATGAACCTCTATGACTTGAAGCAGACCCCGAGACAGTGGTACAGGAGATTTGACAATTGTATGTCAGAAAATGGGTACTTGAAGTGCCAAACAAACCGCCGTTGCTTCATCAAACACTTCGGTAACTGTTTTATTCTTCTTCTTGTGTATGTAGATAATATGCTGATTGCAAGGGCAAATATGAAAAAAATCAGGGACTTAAACAATCATTTATCAAGGGAGTTCGAGATGAAGGATTTATGTCAAACCAAGAAGATCCTCAGGATGAGAATCAACAGAGACAGAAGTACAGAATTACTGAAGTTGTCTTAGACAGAGTATGTTGAAAAGATTCTACGGAGGTTCAACATGAGTGAGGAGAAACTAGTTAGCACTCTCTTTGGTAGTCACTTCAAACTAAGGAGCTATCGCCTAACTTTGAAGTAGAGCAAGCATATGGAGAGAATTCTATATGTTTCAACAGTTGAAAGTTTGATGCACACGATGATTTGTATCATACCAGATATTACATATGTAGTAGAAGTGGTCAGCAAGTACATGGGCAATTCAGACAGATATCATTGGGAGGCGATAAAGTGGATTGTCAGGTATTCGAGGGGAACAATCAACATGACTTTTTGCCATGGAAGTGCAACGACTAGTTTATAGGGATTTGTAGATTTAGATCTGGCAGGAGATGTGGATAGTAGGAGAAGTACAAAGAGATATATCTTCACATTGGGGAACACAGTCGTGAGTTGGGTTTTTTAAGTTGCAGAAGATTGTTGCACTTTCAACTATGGAAGTCGAATCTATTGTTATATTACTGATGCTAGCAATGAGATGATTTGACTACAAAGTTTCATTAGCAAAATTAGGCAAGGAGCAGGGGATTGGAAGACTCTACATTGGAAGTATGAGTGCGATTCATCTTTGCTAAGAATGATGTTTTTCATGCCAGGACGAAACACATTCAGCTGAGGTGTCATTACATTTGTTTTCTTCTTGAAATTGGACAGTTGTTCTTGGAGAATTCACATATAGCTTAAAATCTTGCGAATATGTTGACGAAGGTGGTAACTGTTGAGTAACTGAAGTTGTGCTTTACTTTAGTTGAGTTTCATGAAGCTTGAGACCGGGGGTAAGCCACACCACGGTACGTGACTGTGAAGACTATTCACATGGAGATATGGGTATAGAGGATTGGTTTTGGGTGTTATTGTCTACAAGTGGGAGATTAATGTGTATATGGAGCTAAAGAACCCTAAGATCCCGACAGCTAAGCATCAGTTTTGTGCGCTGACAGTGAGGGGGGCGTCTTTACGGCCTCTTGGGGCGTTCAAGCACCCATATTTTTTGCGCAGACAAGCGCCGGTGTTGAGCGCTCAAGCGCCCGGTTTGCTGGGCGCGATCCCGAGAGCTTTGCGCTTAGGTGCTTAAGCGTCTGGTGCAGTTACTCCGCTTTTTGGTTTTTAAACCAATTTTGAGCTGCGTAATGATGAGTTGGGTGTAGGTCTTTTTTTGGTGTTCTTCAACAAGTTCTTGATGAAGGAGAGAAGAATTGGAGAGGAGGGTTTTGGGGATCTCAACATGTGTTTTTTGCATCAGATCGGAGAATGAAGGTTGTGGAGTGTCTTGTAAGTTTCTTCGTGTGAGTGTAGAGAAGAAGCTTTTTTGAGTCCTTTGTAAAACCATCTTATTTTCATATTGAAATTGTAATGGTGTAGCTCTGTGGTTTTTTTTTCTCGTTCTCTGGTTTTTCCACGTAAATTTTTGTCTTTTCTGTTTGTTTTGATTTTACTTTTGCTCTTAAATTTATTGTTCTGGTTTTCTCGAATCCCGTGGTCCTATTCCACAGTGAAACTAGGATATTCTTTCAGAGTAGTTGCTCCCAACAACTGCAGACCTTGTTATCTTCCAAATAAACATTTTTCTAGATCACTCCGAGTGTAATTTTTAATCACATCCTTTTTTGGACATGAGTTAAATATGCTCCCGTGTCTACAATGCAAGGTCCAGGATTGACTTGAGACATTACGAGGGAGTTATCTTAGATTTCTCTTGTGGAGACATTTTAAAAATAGTCTTTTGTTGTCCTCCACCATCAGCTTTTCTTGGAGCTTTACCATCCTTGAAGTGCTCGTTATTCCTGCATTTCTAACATTTTCCCATGCTTGATTTGAATTTTCCTCTTCTGGATTTGAATGTATCTGTCTGTATTTCTGTTTATATTACTTCCCCTGTTTTCATCATTCAACACAGAACCTAAGGATGCACTGTTCACAGTTTTTGTGCAAACTTCATTGAACACCAACCTCACGATGTCATCGATGTTCAACTTCATATTCTCAGAAGAATTACAAATCACCGTGACCAAACTATCTCTGTTGTTCGATAATGAAGATATAATAGCATTACTCTGACCTCATCCTTAAATTTGAACCCACAAAACACAATTGATTGGTTATATTGTTTGAAATTGTACAAGTGGTCAGCCACTAAACTCCTGCCATTTTATATTGAATAACTTTTTCATCACACAAGCCTTATTAGAACCATAAAATTTTTCATACATCGTTGTCAGTGTCACCATAAGATCCAGCATAATTTTCTTATTTACTATATTAAATGCAACAGATGAGGAAAGTGACACATGGATCAAATTTAAAGTCGTTCGATTCGCACTTACATTCCTTCATAGTTATCTATTTTGGCTTCTTGTTGATTCCTTTTAGTGACAAATATGGTTTTCTATGATACATCAAATCATAAACTTGCATTCTCCAGACCACTATGTTTGATCTATTGAATTTCTCCACTTTGTACCTCGCTTCGTTGGCCATTGCTCCCACTCGAATCAAACTCCTCGCTTTGATACCATTTATTGGGATGAAATATACACGCAGAGCTTTGATTGATTCACAATCAAAACCACACCGTTAAAATAGGAATGCTGATATGAGAAATTTGAAAAAAAAAAAAGAATAGAAGCACAACAAAATAATACAACAAAATAATCTAAGAAAAGTACACCAGAGTTTACGTGGAAAAAATGCTAGAATTGGAAATAGTCGTGGAGTTCCATCATAAAAAAATTCGACTATGAATAGGAGAAACTTACATAGGGACACTCAAATTTTCTCTATAATCACTGGAATTTACAGAATTTTGCTTCAAATATTTCCTTTCAACTCATAAGAGAAAGCCCACACACCGAAATCACTCTCATGACAATTCATCTTCACAAAGAATTCCTGTCGATAAACACCACACGCAAGAGAGATGCCCTACGTCGTTTGAATAGGGACTTAAGAATCGAACTGTAGAGAAACTGCACACGGCGTAGTTACACTGCTCCTCGGTATAATTATTCCGCAAGCTCAGTGTGGAGTCAAACACGGTGTAGCTATGCACAGTGGAGGTGTAGTTACGCTGCTCAGCATAGCTATGCCAATTTGGGCGTAGGTATGCCATACATTTCTACTGTTTGGCACTGTTGTTTGTTTGCTTGCTTACGGCTATGGTTGCTTTTCCGGGCCCTACACCTCAACATATTGAGTCAAAGCAAAAGACTGGTACAGATTGGGGTAGGGAAGATGGCAACAAGAACCATGACTTTCATAAAATGATTTTACTATTAGCAATGGCCAGTTTGTTTTTGCGGGGGATGTATATGCATTCAACACAATCCTTGTGAGTTTACATTTCACACGCCTGAATTTAACACTCAAATATTTGAGGTCACATAAAAAAACACCACCAATATTAACCATTTTTAAAGGGAAATACGTCTTTCATTGCATTTATTTTGATGTGATTGATAACACTAATATCTATGTATGTAAATATCGAACTTTAAGGGGATGTTTGGGATCATTTTTATTTTTCTATTTTTTATTTTTATTCATTTATGCTTTAATTTGAAATAAAAATGCTTGATATATTTTATTAAGATATGATTGCCTTTAAAAACAGTCGGAAACGTTTAAATTTTTTTTAAATATTTTCAAAAGGATTGATTATTTTTAGAAATAAAATATAAAATATGTAAAAAACAAGCTAACTATTTTATTCAAAAAGATTGATTATTGTTAGAAATAAAATATAAAATATGTAAAAAACAAGCTAAATATTTTTTTTAACAATAAAATAAAAAATAAAAGTGAAAACAAAAATAAAAATAAAATTGATCCAACAAACTAAGTGTTAAGATATGTGTAAATACAACAATTGTGTGTGCATATAAATTTCTATTTGTCTAAAGCATAAAGAGAGGTCTGTGTTGGCAGGTAAAGGTAACTGGATATTAAGTCTAGCATCTCAAGCTATGAGAAAGCCATATGAATAGAAAAAAATAGGCATGAAAATTATGGTGTAAGAATCATATTTTTGTAGTTGCTGTAACTACTGTAACTGTGAGATGCTTGCCTCACAACTTGAAATCATTTAAGGAAGATTCACACATACCTGTCAATTCTTACATATTTACATATCTAGCACATCTGAACTTCAATTTTACATACATACCACCATACCTATGCATGAAAAGATGCATTTCACTTCTAGAAAAAGTGGCGGTGTCTTGCTGTGATATTAAAGATTTGGTTATGCATGTAAATGTCCTAATCATTTATTTGTCTTCTAATTCTACTCGCTTACTGCCCTGTTATCAGAATTCTGCCGGCATCATCGAACAAGCGACTGAAGCAAGATTTTCCACATTCAATACCACGAATTCTATCTTGAATTACACGAACATACAGATTGAAAGGTCAATTTCTCAATACCTCACCACCAATGCCACAGCTCGAACAAGTTTATGATGCAATGTATTGAACTCGAGTTGGTTCGACAAAATCTTCATCCTAAGGCTGATGTTTTGAGGCATTACAGCACAGGGTCTGCACAATCATACAATTTTGTTGAACTTTTCTCCTGTGCATGAATGGGCTGCACAATCTTACCAATGAGGAATTTAGAATCCTTTTAATCGCTGCTCCTTGGTGGAATCGGTAGGGTTGAGGATGGTGAGTCTATCAATCACGGAAGCAAGTAGGTGTTTCCCTTCCATTTTATCTCTGCATTTGTTGCAGGAATAGGGAGATATGCTGCCATTATTCTCCTTTAAAAATTCATTTCATTGGCCTTATGGTCTCTACTTGTATGGGAATTTTGTTTTTTGTTATTATTATTATTTTTTTGATGTAAAGGAGAATCACGGGTAGATTTTATATTTTTGGAAACAAAAAAGTATTTTTTGTAAAATAGGCTTCCCTGAATTGGAAGCTAGAATTTTGTTATGAGAAGTGTGCGTTTATTGCATCTTCTAGTGAGTTGGGTTACAATACTTCCCTGAGATTGACTTTCGGGTAAGATGAGCACCGTATTCGGCATATTGGTATATGTTGGGATTTTACCTTTTTCTTTTGATATTACTATGATGTCATATATTTTTGTTAGTGTTTCATTAATTTGGTCATTGTCGGCGTTTAAAAAGAGGGGAGTTACGTTTGGGGGTCGCCCGTAAGAAGCTGTCGGTCGCCGGAATCGAAATCCCGTCACCCGCTTCGGAAGGACTTTTTAATTTACATATATATATATAATTTTAGAAAAATACGAAATCAAACTGACCTCATATTTTTCACAGTTTAAATGAAAGAGCGCTCTACCTCAAATCCTGTATCTACCCCGAAGAATAAACACAAGACCTGAGGATGAAGCTCGATCAAATAAACTAAGAAAGATATGACGTCCGTTTGGGTCTGCGAAACCATTTTATTTGCCGACAAGTTCCCCTATTTAATACAAATAATTAAATAGGGTTTATTTTAAGCTGGGTTCGGAAAAGCTCCCTATAAGGGCAAGCCCCTATAGTTAATTACATCTCAAATGACCGAAGTCACCTAAGAAAACTCTCGATAAAAATCAGGGGATAATGTCTTCAAAGAGGTCAAAAGGATAGGACTTTACAACGAAATCGGACGAAGAGGTGTGAAGGGGAAAAGCTCAAATCTGGAACATTGTTGAGGAATCCAAATGAAGAGAAACTAGGGGAAACCACA